ACAGGTGTGCGCTCCCACACCCGGCTAATTTTTGATTTATTGTAGAGATGAGGTCTCACCAAGTTGCCTAGGCGGGTCTCGAACCCACGGGCTCAGGCAATCCACTCACCTCAGCCTCCCAAAGGCGTAGGATTACAGGCTGAGCCACTGAGCCCGGCTTAACTTCTTCATTAGATGTCTTTTGCAAATATTTTCTGCCCATCCATAACTTGTCTTTTCATTCTCTCGGCAATGTCTTCTGCAGAGCAGAAATTTTTAGTTTTAATGAAGACCAGCATATCAATTCCTGTTTTTGCAATAAAACTGATTTTTATCGTGATGTATTCCTGCCATAAAATTCTCTACAGGCAATACACCATTTTATTGCTTGGGAGGGACCTGGTCCCTTAAAATGTCCATGGGCTCCTTGATATGCCATGGGTTCAGGTCTCTAGTTCTTTCTTTGTGTAGTTGACCTACTATTTTGAGAGGATCGTGTTAAAAATGTCAAACTAAAATTGTCAGTTTCTCTATCTCTCACTGCAGTTTGATCAATTCAGTGTATCATATGTACTTCGAGGCTGTGTTAGAAGCCTCTATGCTTACAATAGTTATATCCTACTTGCTGTTGTTTCTTTGAGTTCTTTATAATGTATATAACATCTCTTCGTGTTTTATGATGTTTTTGTCTCAAAGTATATTTTGTCAGTTATTAAGACTATTGCCCAACTTCCCTTTTTGACTACATGGGCCTCTTAATTTTATATTTTTGAACTCTCCATATGTTATTCATTTTAAGTATCAGTTATTTCTTTCATGGATAGTGCCTTTGGTGTTATATCTAAAAAGCCATCCCCAAGCCCAAGGCAACCAGATTTTCTCCTGTGCTGTCTTCTAAGAGTTTCACAGTTTTGCATTTTACATTTAGGTCTGTGATCCATTTTGAGTTAATGTTTGGGAGGGGTGTAAGGTCTGTGTCTAGATTCATTTTTTTGCATGTGGGCGTTCAGTTGTTTCAGCACCATTTCTTGAAAAGACTATCTTTTCTCCATTGTCTTGCCTTTGTTCCATTGTATAGGTTTGTGCAAAAGTAATTTTGGTTTTTGCATTGTTGATATTTGCCATGTGGCATTGGAATACATTCTTAAATAAGTATGATCATGTTATACATCATGTTAATGCGCATTTCTCGCTTTATGTATTTTACTAATGACTTATTACTTGCTGTTTATTTTATATTTATTTGAAACTATGGAAATGGTGTCAGGCGAAAAGCAAATTCGAGTGATTTTCTTATTTGAGTTCACAATGGGTCGTAAAGCAGCAGAGACAACTCACAACATCAATAACGCATTTGGTCCAGGAACTGTTAACTACAATGCAGGGGTGGTGGTTCAAGTTTTGCAAAGCAGACAAGAGCCTTCAAGGCGAGGAGCATAGTGGCTGGCCATTGGAAGTTGACAAGGACCCATTGAGAGCAATCATCGAAGCTGATCTTCTCACAACTACACAAGAAGTTGCAAGAGAACTCAACTTCGACCATTCTATGGTCAATCAGCACTTGAAGCAAACTGGAAAGGTGAAAAGTTCAATAAATGGCTGCCTCACGAGCTGAATGAAAATCAACAACAAAGTGTCGTCTTCTCTTATTCTATGCAACAACAAACCATCTCTCAATTGGATTGTGACATGCAACAAATAGTGAATTGTGTACAACAACCAGCGATGACCAGCTCCATGGCTGGACCGAGAGGAAGCGCCAAAGCACTTCCCAAAGCCAAACTTGCGACAAACAAGGTCATGGCCACTGTCTGGTGGTCTGCTGCTGGTCTGATCCCCGGCAACTTTCTGAATCCTGGCGAAACCATGTCATCTGAGAAGGATGCTCAGCACATCGATGAGATGCCCCGAAAACTGCAATACCTGCAGCTGGCATGGGTCAGCAGAAAGGACTCAATTCTCCATGACAACGCCCACCTGCACGTTGCACAACCAAAGCTTCAAAAGTTGAACGAATGGGGCTATGAAGTTTCGCCTCATCCTCCACATTCACCTGACCTCTTGCCATCCGACTACCACTTCTATAAGCATCCCAGCGACTTTTTGCAGGGACAACGCTTCCACAACCAGCAGATGCAGAAAATGCATCCAAGAGTTCATCAAAACCCAAAGCATGGATTTTTATGCTACAGGAATAAACAAACTTATTTCTCATTGGTAAAAATGTGTTAATTGTAATGGTTCCTATTTTGATTAATAAAAAATGTGTTTGAGTCTAGTTATAATGATTTAAAATTCACTGTCCAAAAATCACAATTACTTTTGCACCAAGCATAAAGGATCAGTTGACTTTATTTATGTAGGTCTGTTTCTGGGCTCTCTATTCTGTTCCACTTATCTGCTTTTGTCTATTTTTCACCACTACCACACTGTCTTGATTACCGTAGCTTTCTAGTCAGTCTTGAGGTCAGATAGTGTTTGGACTCCCCATTTTATGACACTAAGTATTGTAAATGTTTTGTAGTCTCGCTCTCATTCTGTTGTCGAAGCTGTGCTTTTTGTACATGAGCACTCTTGCATGTGGCAGATTTTTCATGTGTTTTGGTGTGGTGGGCTCTAGCATTGTGGAGCCAGCGTCAGTGGCACTGTCGTGAGGGTCTCCATTGGGAGGGTCTCCATCGTGAGGGTTGGAGAGATTCTCCAGAGGGTTTGCCACCAGAAAAATTTGCCTTTGCTTCTGTCTGGCTCTCCAGGGCCCAAGTCTACCTCTGGCCTGTTCTTGACTCAAATGGGAATGCTTTTTAGGTTTTGCTAAGTATGAAGTTTGCTATAGGTTTTTAGTAGATTCCCTTTATCAATTTAAAGAAGTTTCTCAATTTATACTCTGTTAAGATTGTTATTTTAATAATGGTATTACATTTTATTGACATCTTTTGCTGCTTGAGACAATCCTATCTTTCCCCTCAATATAGTCTTTAATTAATATGGTGAAATATATTGGAAGTTTTTTTATACATTGTTGAATTTAAGTCTGCTAATATTTCATTTAGGATTTTGGCATCTGTAGTGACATAGGTGAGGCTGGTTTATATTTTATTTTCTTCTCTGTTTTTCTTTTTTTTTTTTTATTTGGAGTCTCACTCTGTCACTCAGGCTGGAGTGCCGTGGCATGCTCACGGCTACCACAGCCTTGACCTGCTGTGTCAGGTGATCCTTCTGCCTCAGCCTCCCAAGTAGCTGAAACTACAGGCATGTGCCACCACTCCTGGCTAATTTTTTGGATTTATTGTAGAGACAAGCTGTCTCACCACGTTTCCCAGGCTGGTCTTGAACTCGTGGGCTCAAGTAATCCTCTCGCCTCCACCTCCCAAAGTGCCAGGATTACAGGCGTGAGCCACCGCGCCTAGCTATGTTCTTCTAATGTCCTTACCCAGGACAATTTTAGGTTTGGATTTAAAGATGACACTGAGATTATAAATCTACTAATGACTTTTAAAAACCTACTAGATTTGAATATGGAGCCCTTTCCCTCTGTCCTCACCAGTGATGCCCTCTGGGTCATTTCCTTTGCTCCACACAGATAATATTTCCACACCAGGCCAAGCACTTGACCTGTAATCAGTCTCGGGCCCCACAACTGGAAAGCCCAGAGCCATAACGGGTGGCGCCAGCACGGAGTGGACGCCCCAGGAAGGCCTGTTGGATGAATGAGTGAATTCCTAAGCCCAACTCACTGGTACTTTGTCCTCTGCAGAAAAGGGGCCTTGCTGTTCAACAATATATTCTCCATTGTGCCTGCGATCATGATGGGATTCAGCAAAGTCGCCAGGTCCTTTGAGCTTATAATCGTTTCCAGACTTTTGGTGGGAATATGTGCAGGTAAACAATGTGACGCTGTATTCCCCTTCTGTTAGGACCCTCAAGGAGGAGAAAGGCGGGCTCCCAGGGAGCTGGCCCAGCTGGGGTCTCTGAAGCACACAGGTTCAAGCTGTCCCTGTACCGCTCCTGTGACCTCAATGCTTGAGCCTCTGCACTGCTCTCGTGCATGGGCTGTGGGTCGATCTTTACTGTGCTGTTTTCTGCCCAGAAAACCGTTCTTTGAAAGACTGAGGCCGGGCACAGTGGCTCACGCCTATAATCCCAGCACTTTGGGAGGCTGAGGTGCTGAGGTGAGAGGATTCCCTGAGCCCACAGGTTTGAGACCAACCTGGGCAACTCGGCGAGACCTCATCTCTACAATATATCCAAAAAAGTAGCTGGGCACGGTGACGTGTGCCTATAGTTTCAGCAACTTGGAAGACTGAGGCGGAAGGATCACCTGAGCTTAGCAGTTCGAGGCTGCAGTGGCCACGAGTGACAGAGTGATACTCCAACACACACACACACACACACACACACACAAAGACTGAAATATAGAATCTTAAGCTGGGAAGGCTTCTGTTAATCCAGTCCTCCATCTCAATACTGCAGTTTGCCACAAGTTATCAAGTGGTGATATCTGTTTAGTGAGCAACATTTTCTTTTTAAAAATAGAACAGCTTGGCATGGTGGCATGCACCTGTAGTCCCAGCTACTGGAGAGGCTGTGTTGGGAAGATTACTTGAGCCCTGGAGTTGGAGACCAGCATGGGCAACATAGCCAGATCTCCTCTCAAAACAAATTAATACTTTTTTTTAGTTGGAGTCTCACTCTGTCACCCAGACTGGAGTGCAGTGGCATACTCACGGCCATCACAGCCTCGACCTACTGGGCTCAGGTGATCCTTCCACCCCAGCCTTCCAAGTAAGCGGAAACTACAGGCATGCACCACCATGTCCAGCTAATTTTTTGGTTTGTTATAGAGGCAAGGTTTCACTAAGTTTCCCAGGCTGGTCTTGAACCTGTGGGCTCAGGCAATCCTTTTGCCTCTGCCTCCCAAAGTGCTGGGATTACAGGTGTGAGCCACCATACCCAGCAATAAATACAATTTTAAAATATAAATAAATAGAATAGACTGTCATATGTAGTAAGGATAAGGACTGTCTTTTGAAACTTTTCTTTCAGTTATTTATCTGTATACGTATGGGAGAACCAAATTGAGATATAAAATGTATTTCTGTGTTTTTTACCATGGGTTGCAGTCAAAAAATGTTGAGAAACTATCTAATGTACGAATCCCTCTACTAGACAGGGATTAACAGTGCTACCTTTCAAGTTTTACAGGACAGTTTAAAGTTTACAAAGGGCTTCATGAGACCTGGTTCATTTGTGCCTTAAATGGCCAGCTGTGGAAGAAGAGCTCTCAACTATGGAACTCTCAGCTAGTCTGCACAGGCCACCCGACCGCTTCCCCACACCTGTTGCCCAGGCTGCACTATGGTAGTTTTAGAAAATGCTCCCACAATGGCTCCAAACTACAGCGAGACAAAGTTAGAGCCACGCGCGTGGCTGTCCCCTGAGTTGGCATCCTCAATAGGCAGTGTTTCCCAGGGCCAGACAGGGACAGGTGTCGGGGGTGCAAACTCTGAGGGCCCTGCAGGTGCAGGGTGGGCACTTGAGTGCGTACGTCCTGAAATGTGTGCCCTAGGTGCCTCCCCCAACCTAGTCACAGTGCTGACATTCCGAGGAACTCTCCTTTGCTTCTTCCAGATGCAGGGATGGGGACCAGTGATAATTTGGCTGGATGTCGACAAACCCCTCAGCCAAAGTTAGTTGGCAGTGACAACTAACTGTGAGGACAAGTGAGGAGAGGATGTGAGCGGTTTCCTGAGTAGAAGTTACCTCACGCCAAGGCGAGACAGTTGGGCCCAGGGCACATGTCACTTAGAGCTTGACTTTCCCTGGGAGCACTTGGACGAGCCTCTGCCATCTTGGCCGGATGTGGCCAGCTCTGCCTTTGCATTTTCCCTGGAGAGAGCTCAGTTTTTTGAAAACTAGATGATTCCTAGAAGTTGTCAGCAGTAGCCAGGAGCATGGGCTCGTGCCTGTCATCTCAGTACTTTGGGAGGCAGACACGAGAGGATTACCTGAGCCCACAGGTTCGAGACCAGCCTGGGCAACTTGGTGAGACCTCGTTTCTACAATGAACCAAAAAATTAGCCGGGCATGGTGGTGCATGCCTATAGTTCCAGCTTACTTGGAAGGCTGAGGTGGAAGGATCACCTAAACCCAGCAGGTCAAAGCTGTGGTGGCCGTGAATGTGCCACTGCATTCCAGCCTGGGTGACACGGTGAGACTCCTACTCATAAAAAAAAAAAAAAAAAAAAGGAAGTTGTCAGCAGTGAGCAGGTTCAGTCACCTTTCTTTTGGCAATCAACAATTCAGAATTGACCCCAACAGAGAAATATTCAGCTTCAAGAGATAAAAATCACAGTTAAAAACCCCAACCTTCACTGTTAAGTGCCATGACTTGAAGTCAATGCTTCTCATACTTTTGGTTGGGAAACCCCTCTGCACACTTAAAAAGACTGAGGGCTCCAAAGAGCTTTGGCCATGTGGGTTACATCGATCAATATTTACTGTATTAGAAATGGCAACTGAGAGATAGATATAGTGACAAAAAAAAATTTTTAGAATATGCCTGTTACATGTTTTTATAAAAATAACTATATTTTCTAATACAAAAAAATCTAGTGAGAAGAGGGATATACTTTTACATGTTTTCAAATCTCTGTACTGCCTGGCTTAGTCGAAAGCTGGATTCTCATGCCTGCTTCTGTGTTCAGTCAGCCGTGACATCACATGGCAGGTGACCCCTGGCAATCTCCACCATGTTTCCAAGAGAGAACGAGAATGAAAGGGGAACACATCTCTGGGTTATTATGAAGACAGTTTGGATCTCACAGCTACCCCTCAAGGGTCTCAGGAACCCCCGGGTCCTCAGGGCACAGTCTGAGAGCACTAGCCATCGAGGGTGTCATGCATTTGCAGCCAGTTTTTTCAAACGCCTCCTGAAAGTCAGTGGCGTGTGTCATCAAGCCACCTGCTTTAGACACTCATCATGAAACTGCCCATGTTACCGTGAACCACACAGTCCACACTGAAAGTGGAGCACACAGCTGCTCTGGCAAACCGGGTGCCAAGATAAATCTTCCACGATGCTCACAGTTCATTGCTTTGTTATTTGTCAACTTCTTGGCAAGAACATGGAAATTATTCACTGGCTCTAAGTCGTTCAAACTTTTTTTTTTTTTGAGTCGGAGTCTCACTCTGTCGCCTAGGATGAAGTGCAGTGGCATGCTCACGGCCATCGCGACCTTGACCTGCTGGGCTCAGGCGATTCTTCCACCTCAACCTTCCAAGTAGCAGGGAACACAGTCTACTTTTCTTTTTTTTTAATTGTAGAGACGAGGTCTCGCCAAGTTGCTCAGGCTGGTCTCAAACCCCTGGACTCAGGCAATCCTCTCACCTCTGCCTCCCAAAGTGCTGGGATTACAGGTGTGAGCCACCGTGCCCAACTCTTTTGCATTTTCAAGAGTTCTGGCCCAAATCATGTGATCGCTAAGTAAGACTAAATCTGCTTGAAGACATAGCTTGTCCCTGCCAGACTGATTTTTCCTGATGGTGTTTTCATTTCTCCCCCTCCCAGGCCTGTCTTCCAACGTGGTCCCCATGTACTTGGGGGAGCTGGCCCCTAAGAACCTGAGGGGGGCCCTCGGGTTGGTACCCCAGCTCTTCATCACCGTGGGCATCCTCGTGGCCCAGCTCTTTGGTTTTCGGAACGTTCTCGCCAATGACAACGGTGAGGCAGGACGGCTTGGGACTCCCCCAGGCTCTTCTCAGCGCCCCCCTCCTGCTCCAGCACCCCAGCCACAGAACAGGGCCTTGCTGCGGGCCGGACTTTTCTTTCTAATGGGTTGTCTCCCTGGGGTCCCACACTGCCTGAGCCCACAGGTCTGTTTGGCACACAGTAGGGCTTGGGCGAGCACACGGTGCCAGACTGGCCAATGTTTTCTTGACCCTCTCAGGAGGTGGGTGAGGCGGCTTTAAGTGCTTTGCCTCTCTTGGCCTGCTCAGTGGCTGCCCACACAGAGGCCTGTGGCATAGCCATGTCAGCCACCACCGTATCAGGCTCTGAGCTTAGGGCGTCCCTGGCACCAATTCACAGGAGCCTCCCAGCAACGGGCTGCCTGGGGCTCTGTGAGTGGCCCACTTCACAAACCAGAGAGGGAAGCCCCCAGAAAGGGAAACCCCGAGAGTGACTTGCCCCAGGGTGAGTGGTAGGTACCTCCCAGTCCCTGCTCCCGACTCCCCAATAGAGCCCGTGGCCTGGCACATGGTGGGCACCTGGTAACACGAAACTGGCTTTGTTTTTGCATGAACTCTTCTCTCTTTGTCTTGGGTCTCAAACCTCTGAGAAGAAAAGCCCCCATTCATTATCACACCAGCCAAAACACAGAAAATGCCTATTGTGGGCCAAATGCCAAGTCTTGATATTCGTTTGTTTATTCTTCTAAATAGCCCCGCAAAGTCTGTGATAGGATTACACCCGTTTTACAGATGCAGAGAGGAGGCACACAGAGATTAGAGACCTAGTCCAAGGTCTCACTCGGACACACGCCCAGCAGCACGGCCTAGTCTGTGTTTAGGTGCCTTTCCATCACTCCTGCTTGCATTCAGGACCCCTACGTCGAAGTGCCACACCGGCCTTAGGAGCTGGGGCCAGAAGAGACTCAGCTGGGCTCCTGTCTCAGGGAGTTTCCACAGAGGGCTCAGAGCCACATGCAGGGCCCACGCACTTGTGAGCGCCGGGCTGTGTGCCATTTCCTTGCTTCTGCCTCGGTTTCACATTGGCAGCTAGAGGGTTAATGTGACACATTTCTGAACTTGATGTAACAGGATTCCATTGTGTGGATGACCACATTGAACTTCAGGCTTGTTAGATGTGACTACTTTGTGAACACAGTGCAGCTCCTGTGTCCACATGGAACGAACGGATGTGGTCTCCGGTCTTGCTTCCTACCATCCGCTGCTGTGGCCATGCCAGTTCAGGGTCCTGGTGGCCTCGAGCTTCCCTGGCACAGAGCTGGCAGTGGACCAGCGGGCTCAGTCTGCGTGTGCCCAGCTCCTCTCGCCCCCTCCAGGCTGTCCTCCGAAGGACCCTGTGTGTCCCACCGCGACAGGTGCAGGCTTCGCATTTGTCCCCTGTCTCGCCAGCACTTGGTGTTGTCAGACGTTTCCATTTTGCCCACCTGGCCGGTGTGCGGTGGCCGGCCGTCACTCAGCCGTGCTGTATGCTTCCTGAGTGTCCCTCCCCGTGAGGTGCTGTCTTAGGTGCTGGGGACAGGGCAGGGAAGCAGCGTCTCTGTCTCAGGGAGCCTGTGTCCCCACTCGGGGAACGGAACAGAGAGTGGGTGCTGGGCGGGGTGGGGCGGGGGTCCCTCGTCTGAGCTCACTCCTCCCTCCAGGCTGGCCAGTGCTCCTGGGGCTGACCGGAGTCCCCGCAGCCCTGCAGCTGTTCCTGCTGCCCTTCTTCCCCGAGAGCCCCCGGTACCTGCTGGTGCAAAGGAGAGACGAGGCTGGGGCCAAGAAAGGTAGCGCGGGCCGAGGGCGGGGCAGCCTCTGACTCTGCGCCTGGAGCCCTGGCCCGACGGCCTCTGCCTCGCCCTCCCTCAGCTCTGAGGACGCTGCGCGGCCAGGACACAGTGGACGTGGAGCTGGAGGAGATCCGGAGGGAGGACGAGGCGGAGCGGGCCGCGGGCTTCATCTCGGTGCTGAAGCTGCTCAGGATGAGGTCTCTGCGCTGGCAGCTCATCTCCATCGTCGTCCTCATGGGAGGCCAGCAGCTGTCGGGAGTGAACGCGGTACTGCGGCCGTGGGCTGGGGGGGGGGCATCTGGGCGCAGAGGGCGCCTCCTCCCCCCAGCTGCCACCCAGCCCGCGCGGTTGCCTTCCAGATCTACTACTACGCAGACTCCATCTACCAAAGTGCCGGCGTGAAAAAGGACTACATCCAGTACGTGACGGCCGGTACTGGGGCCGTCAACGTGGTGATGACCATCTGCGCCGTGAGTGTCCCCAGGAGATGAGGCCCTGCTGGTCATCAAGGATGAAGGGACGCCTCAGGCATGGGGGAGGTTCTGAGCGAGGAAGGACGGAGCCCAAGGTGGCCACACACCCCTCGAGCCCCCAGGCTTCAGCCTCCGGGCTCTCCTGAGAGGGCAGCCTACAGTCCCCCAGACGGAGGCCCAGCCCTGCCCCAGAACTGTTCCAGTGACTCACATCTGGGGCTGCCGAGCTGTGCAGGGTCTGGGGCCACAGCCTGGCAGGAAGCAGGGAGCCCCTAGGCTGGGCAGTGTGGTGGCCTGAGTACCCAGAGTGAGGCCAGCTCTGGTTGGGAGCCAGGCCTCCGTCCGGGCGGCCTCTCTTGAAGTGGACCCAGTGGTTGTAGCAATTCTAAAATCTAATTAGGGGCTGCAGAAGGCCCTAGAAGTGGAGTCTCATTCAAGCAGGGACAGCTGGGGCCCCAGACACAGCCAGACTTCCCCGCTGGCTGCCCAAGGTCATGTCCCGCACACATAAGTGAGTGTGAATGTGCCTGTGCATGCACACGGGCAGGTACATGGGCGAGCACAACGCATGTGGCCACCCAGGCCTCCCCACAGCTGCCCCACGGAAGGCGCTGGAGGGACAGGTCGCAGGACATAACGCCCCGGGTCCAGCTTCTGAGCCTCCCTGCCCCCCGCCCCACCCCCTCTGCAGGTGTTCGTGGTGGAGCTCTTGGGAAGGAGACTTCTGCTGCTGGGGGGCTTTGCCCTTTGCTTCATGGCCTGCTGCGTGCTCACAGCAGCGCTGTCACTGCAGGTGAGGACGGCCAGCATCCAAGGCACCAGAGCTGTGCTGGGAAGGAGATCAGTGCACTCTCTCCTGCGCCCCACCAGTATTAAAAGGAAAAGGGAACCGGGCTCGTGGCTCAGTCTGTAATCCCAAGCCTTTGGGAGGCTGAGGTGAGTGGATTGCCTGAGCCCGCGGGTTCGAGACCCGCCTGGGCAACTTGGCGAGCCCTCATCTCTACAATAAATCAAAAAATTAGCCGGGTGTGGTAGCGCGCACCTGTAGCTCCAGTTACTTGGAAGTCTGAGGCGGAAGGATTGCCGGAGCCCAGCAGGTCAGTGGCCAGGAGCGGCCACTGCACTTCAGTCTGGGTGACAGAGTGAGACTCCAACTCAAAAAAAAAGCAAAATTAAATTAAAAAAGGAAAAGGGGTCAGAATGTGTTGTTTTAGCAAATACAGTCAGCAGACGTCTGGGGACCACGTGTCCCCCAGAGCCCACAACCCACTTTCGGCTGGCTTTCTAGGGGCTCATCACAATGGCCCTGCTGAGGGAGAAGCTGAGAGCCGACCTGGGCAGACGGGCTGCCTCTCTGGGGACTGAGGTTCTGAGGTCCCACCCCAGCTTGTCCTTGTCGTGCCAGGTGTGAACAGCTGTTTTCTCCCCACAGGACACAATATCTTGGATGCCCTACATCAGCATCATCTGTGTCATTGCCTACGTCATAGGACACGCCCTCGGGCCCAGTATGTACCCAAAGCCCGTCTCAAGCTTTCACTGCCACCCAACTGTCCCAGACACTCCTGGCTCGAGCACCTTGAAGAGGCTCCAGGCAGGACCTGGAGAAAAGGGCTTCTCGCCCCTCATGCTGTTGCAGGGGTGGGAGAAGCCTAATTAGAGAGAAAACAATAGCATGGTGGTATAAGCTGGACAATGCAACCTGTGGTCACCCACTGCTTTGAGGGACGTGGCCAGCCACTGTCCTTGGGGCTGGCCATCCTCACACACCGCCTTTGGCCTCTGCACTGCCACCCCGTGAGCCCAGACGTCCCGGGGACTTGCTACTTGCCAGGCCTGGGCCCGGCACTCGCTCTGCCCTAAGGGAGGTGATGTCCTCCGCAGGTCCCATCCCGGCTCTGCTTGTCACCGAGATCTTCCTGCAGTCTTCGCGGCCAGCCGCCTTCATGGTGGGGGGCAGCGTGCACTGGCTGTCCAACTTCACCATGGGCTTGATCTTCCCATTCATTCAGGTGAGTGGGACCGGGACCCGAACTCCCCAGGTGCCCCTGCAGGAGGGCAAGCCTCTTCCCACGCGCCTCACCTAACCCCTTCCCACAGAAGGGCCTGGGCGCCTACAGCTTCATTGTGTTTGCGGTGATCTGTCTCCTCACCACCATCTACGTCTTCATGGTTATCCCTGAGACCAAGGCCAAGACGTTCATGGAGATCAATCAGATCTTCACCAAGATGAATAAGGTGGCAGAAGCCCGCCCCGCAAAAGAGGAACTGAGAGATCGCCCACCCGTCAATTTGGATTAATAACTCAGGATACTCGGCGGGTCATCATGGGTCTGCCCCCTCTGACCATTTTCTGACTTCTTGTTGTCTGTGAATACCCGGGAATAAGACAACTCTGGTGTGAAATGAAGGCCTAATCTCCGGCCTCCCTGTTGCCCAACAGATTTCTGTGCTGTTCTCGAAGCCGGGAAGTTTCTCCATGTTGGTCCACACCAGAGCCAAGTGAACAGCTATTCCCCCATCTTTCTGGGCTAGCCATTGTGTGGCTCCTGGTAACACAGACTTTATAACTAAAATGGTTACTATGGTGGCGAGATGTCAGGAGTCAAATTTTGCCAGAGAAATGAACTTTTCTCTGTGGCCCACAGGGTCCTCTGGACCACAGGCATTTGTACAGAACCAAATTCATCCTCTTATCAGATCCCTCCCCAGAAACACCTGTCTTAGGAGGTGTGATGTCGGAAATAATAATATCTGGATAGCTGGGGAACTGGTCTCCATGGCAACATTCAGTGAGTCAGAATGATTTATCCTAAATTGTATTGCTGGTGGGAAATGAAATTGCTTCTGTACAGTCAATAAAACAAATCCAATCACTTTTCACCTAGGTGTGCTTCTTTTCTGTAAATGGGCAGGAGGCAGGAGGGGTTCCCTGCTCCTCCAGGCAGGGTGGCTGTGCTGGCTGGCTCCTTGAGAGGAAGGGTTTGGCCGGTTTTATTTATCTCTGAATCCCCAGTGCCTAGAACAGGGCACAACCTTGGGGGTGGGAGAGGACCTGGACAACATCGAGTAAAAGAAGAGGCAAAGAGAGAGATGAGGGGGTGGCAAAGTTGTGGGTTTTTACATTTAAGATTGAGGAAGATGTCACATGAACTCAGGTATGCAGTAATTTTTTTTTTTTTTTTTTTGAGTTGGAGTTTCACTCTGTCGCCCAGACTGGAGTGCAGTGGCCGCTCCCAGCCACCGTAGCCCCAACCTGCTGGGCTCAGGTGATCTTTCCACCTCAACCTTCCAAGTAGCTGCAACTATAGACAGGCACCACCACACCTTACTAATTTTTTTATTTATTGTTGAGACGAGGTCTCACCAAGTTGCCCAAGCTAGTCTCGAACCCCTGGAGTCAGGAAATCTTCTTGCCTCCCCCTCTTAAAGTGCTGGGATTACACACAGACCTTCTGGGTTCAGGTGATCCTGCCCAACCCTCCAGAGTAACTAGGACTACAGGCGTGTGCCACCATGTCTGGCTAATTTTTGCTATGTTGCCCAGGCTGTTCTTGAACTCCTGGGCTCAAGCAATCCTCCCACCCCAGTCTCCCAAATTGCTAGGATTACAAGCACGAGTCCCCACTCCTGGTCAATGTGTCTAGTGAATATTGAGAGATCCTGAAAGTGAGACTGTGGGAAGGGGAATGGAGAAGAAGTGGGTGTCTCCCCAAAAATGGAGAACAGGAGGCTTTTCTTAGAGCCATGAATAAAGGTGTCTGTGTGTGAGTGTATGTATATGTAAAGATGGCATGTACAAAAATATGGAGAAAACCTTGAAAGGAAAGTGCTGAATGGTTTGTGGCAGGAAGTGGGTCTTCTCCCAAGAGTTGGGAGGCAGAAGCTGGAGGCTGGGCAAGACAAAAGTGGGACATGAGAGCACCTTTTGTGGGTGTTTAATTGGGATTCCACAGGCAAGGAACTAAACAACTCACTGGCAATGAGTTAAACAATGAGCCTAGAGGAAGTAAATAGTATAACATTGTGGTTGAACCATCTTTGACCTTCAGGGGACACAGAAGCAGGCAAAGGTGAAAGCACTCAGAGCTGAGGAGAAACCAGGTTTAGAGTATCAGAATTCAAGGGACTACAGTACCTCTAACACAGGGGAGGTTATAGAGTTTATGATTCTGGATATCTACTCCCTGAATTCAAACCTTGATTCTGTCACTTGGTAATTGTGCAATTTGGGTGAGTTATTTGGCTCTTCTGTATTTCAGTTTTTCTCTTCTATTGAACTGTTGATAATAATAAATGTCTCACATGACTGTGTGGGCATTAAGTGACTTTTTGTGTGTATCATGTTTAGATCAGTGGCATATATTAAGTACTCTTAGGTATCTTTAAGTGCTTAGGAGTGAGCACTAATCTTGAGGACAAATAAAAACAGAAGTAAGACAGAGTGAGAGACCACTGTGTGTGTGTATCTGGGATTGAACAGTCCAGAAAACGAATGGCAGATGGTGAGAGCCACCTCACAGCTGGAGTGGGAATTTACAGAGAAGCAAGGGGAGGAAGTCTACAATGATCCGTAGAGTTGTAGAGTAGACTTGGAGACCTTGGCATGAACTTGTGTGCAGCTTAGTATAAATTCAGTTGGCTCCATGTGGAAATATTTATAAGATACAACATGGATTAGTAAAGTACAGCAAGAGGAGATGGGTATGGAAGTATAGAAGGGAGGGGGTTAGGAAAAACAGTAGGATTTCCCAAGTTGAGGACGATGATTAGTAGGATGATGATTATGCTGCAAATACAGTGGCAGAATGGATATTCCAGATGAGAGACACGGAGGTGTTTAGGGGTGTTCCACATAATTTGGTCTGAAAGCAAAGCCAGAAGGACATGGAGGCTGTGCTAGAATCTGCAGGTCCCATGAGCCAAGCTGAGTCGAGCTTGATCTTCAAGATAATCCTCACACGGCTGATTACTAGTGCAACCTCTTGGGAAAACAGTGTGGTGATTTCTAAAAGAACTAGACATTGACCTTCCATATGACCCAGCAATCCCCCTACTGGGAATATATCCAGAGGAACCCAAATCATTCTACAAAAAAGATACCTGCACACACATGTTTATTACAACACTATTCACAATAGCAAAAATATGGAACTATCTGTGCTGCCCATCGAAACTGGAGTGGATAAAAAAAATGTGGCACATATACACAATGGAATATTATGCAGCCACAAAGAAGGACAAACATATGGACTTTGCAGCATCTTGGATGGATTTAGAGTCTATCATACTCAGTGATCTGTCAAGAAACAAAGAACAGAGTACCACATGTTCTCACTCATAAGCGGACCCTGAACATTTACCATAATACTATAAGAAAGGGATTGGCAGTAGAGGGATACTACCAGGGTGGGGATGGGGGGGTGGGTCACGACATCAATGTGGGTACCTGATCTCAAACTAGGCAAAGTGGAGACCAAAGGGAGGCCCAAACTTTACCTGTATGATGACTACTTGTATATCTAAACCTGAATTGTACCCCACATCTTTAAAATAAAATTAAGAAAAATAAAAATAAAAAAAAGATAATCATGATCACCGAGTTTCAGGGAGCACCTGGCAGTGACATGGAGAGGGCAGTACTAGGGCAGGGAGATGAGCTGGTACGAGAGAGCAGCCCAGCAAAGCCAGCAGTGGTGAGGGCCGAATGTGAAGGTACACTTGGCGATTCAGTAGGCTCTGGGGACCACTCGGCCATCATGGTACAGACTCTGGCGTTCCTGCCAGGTTCATAGCATGGACCAGTGAAGAATGGTCTGGGGAGCTGGCTGGCGGGTTTTGGGAGAAGGTCCTATAAATTGTGGACATGTTGAGAGGGAGGAGCTCATGGGGCATGCAAAAGGTGTCTAGAGGAAAGTTGGCATTGGCTCTGGAGGAAAGTTGGCATTGGCTCTAAGTTTTGGGGAACCACATATCTGTCAGCACCTACCATGTGTCGGGGCCTGTTCCTGGTCCTGTTCCAGGCCCTGAGGCCACGGCAGTGAAGAAAACCACAGTCCTGAAGTGAGAGGTGCTACTGCACCTATTAAGAAAGAGGTTCATCTTAATAGTTTAATAGGTTCACCTACTGAGAACCTATTAAGAAAAATAGGTTAGCCTAGGGGGAGGCAGGTGGGGGACTGCTATTCTTCTAGGGGAGTGATGGAAAGCTGCCTGAGAGAGGAAGGGAGCCTGACCTGACAGCAGATGCAAATGTCCTGAGGTGGGGAGGGCAGGCCATGGTTCACGGAATGACAGGAGGCTGTGGTGGTGTTGGAGCAGAAAGGCGGATGGGAAGGAGGAAGAAAGAAGAGGAGGGAGGAAGGAGATGCCGTCCACACAGGAGGCACGGGGAGCATCGGAGATCCTATCCTGAATGTGGCAGGAAGCCACTGACTGATTTGAAATCAGATCCTGATCTGGTCTGCAATTTAAAGAATCATTCCAGCTCTCCCGGAGAAGACTCTGGGGGAGCCCAAGAGGGAGTAAGAAAATCAGGTCCTTTCCAAAAGATTCAAGGGCAGGTTAAAGCCCCACGTGTGTAAGATTGTCCCAGGGTGCACACTGAGGGGATAAAAGATGGGAGCTGGGCCTGATTTGCTGGTGTGCGCACTTTGAGAGGCCAAGGCCGGAGAGTTGCTTGTGGCCAGGAGTTCACAACCAGCCTGGGCAGCATAGCAAGCCTCTGTCTACACACACACACACACACACACACACACACACACAAAATTGTAAATTAGGCTGGGAGTAATGGCTCGTGCCTGTAATTCTAGCACTTTGGAGGCTGAGACGGGAGGATCACTTGAGGCCAGGATTTTGAGATCAGCCTGGACAACACAGTGAGATTCCATCTCTACCAAAACTTTAACAATTAGCTGAGCCTGTTGGTGCATGCCTGTAGTCCCAGCTATTCAAGAGGCTGAGGTGAGAGGATCGCTTAAGCCAGGAGTCTGAGGCTGTAGTGAGCTATGATTATAATGCTGAACTCCATCCTGGGAGATTGAGCCAGACCCTGTGTCTAAAAAAATAACTAAAGTGAGAGACAGCACACCATCCAACAAGGGACCCAGAAATGTGGGCAGAGAGGACTGAGCCACCAGCTCTGCCATTTGCTGGGACCAGAAAAGGAGTCCCCTCGCATTCAATAACCCAGAGTCCCCAGGGAGAGGTACTCGGGGGAGGCAGGGGCAGCAGGTAGACTGCTGGGGCAAGGACCACAACTGAGGTAGAGAGGGAAGCTCAGGGGCTCTGGTTCTGTTCTCCTTCCGTCCTCCCTGTGCCCTTCCTCTGTGTGTGTCTGTTTTATCACTTGCGTAACAGGTGCACATATACGACTTATAAAAATTAGTATGCATATAAGGGAGGTTTGTAGGCAAAGCTTTCTTACGATGGGGAGGCACAAGTGAAAAAGTGTGGAGCCTGTAGGAGCCGAGGGGGCTGCAAAGATAAGCAAAGGCCCAGGAGAAATGACACTGTGGGAGAATCAGGCACCGTCAGGAGGTGGGCCGTCCCTGGGCTGGGATCAAGCGGGTGAGAGGAAGGTGAAGAGGATGCCGGCCCATTTGCTCACCACTGTATGCAACAGGGACTGGCACCAAGGAGGGGCTCAAGAAATGTTTTTTTGAATAACATGTCGTGGCAGGGAGGATTTCAGATGGTAAGGCAGAGCAGGGAAGAGAAGAAGTGGGAGGAGTTGCCAGCTCCCTGTGAAATATTCATAACCCAGATTAGCCCATTGGAAGACAGGTTTGACCTGTGGCTTCCACACTTCCGGATTATCTCTGGCTGCCTGCTTTCTAGTTTGCAAATAAGAATGTTAAAAAAAAACAAAAAAAAACGACTGGGCATGGTAGCCCATGCCTGTAATCCCAGCACTTTGGGAAGCTGAGGCAAGAGGCTTGAGCCCAGGAGTTTGAGACCAACCTGGGCAACCTGGCAAGACCTCATCTCTACCAAAAATTAAAAATAAGCCAGGCATGGTGGCACATGGCTATAGTCCCAGCTACTCAAGAGACTGAGGCAGAAGGATCACCTGAGCCCAAGAGGTCGAGGCTGTGGTAAACTGTGATCTTGCCACTGCATTCCAGCCTGGGCGACAGCTAGACTCTGACTCAAAAAACAAAAGTTGGCTGGGCGTGGTGGCTCATGCCTGTAATCCCAGCACATTGGGAGACAGAGGCAAGCAGATTGCCTGAGCCTAAGGGTTTGAGACCAGCCTGGGCAACTTGGCAAGACCTTGTCTCTACAATAAATAAAAAAATTAGCCGGGCATGGTGGTGCACGCCTGTAGTTCCAGCTACTTGGAAGGCTGAAGCAGAAGGATGGCATGAGCCCAACAGGTCGTGGCTGTGGTGGCCATGAGCATGCCACTGCCCTCCAACCTGGGTGATAGAGTGAGACTCTGACTCAAAAAGTAAAATAAAAATAAATAAAAATACAAAATTCCATCAACAACCAAGATGAGAAAAAGGCATAAAAGAAAGGTCATTTTACTACCCAGGAAGGACATAATCACAGAATAAATGTCAGTCCTTCAAGTTAAATAGATTTTCCTTTGTAAAACCTCACTCCAGCCGGGCTCGGTGGCTCAGCCTGTAATCCCACGCCTTTGGGAGGCTGAGGTGAGTGGATTGCCTGAGCCCGTGGGTTCGAGACCCGCCTGGGCAACTTGGCGAGACCTCATCTCTACAATAAATCAAAAA